AGTCATACAAAAATACGATAAAGCTACCATCACAGAGGCCAAGACTTTACGTAAGCTGCTTTTGTTTCAAAATTCGTTGAAGTATTATCGTGACGTCATATGCTGACAAATTTTCTACAACTTTTTTCAGAAGAACGATTTTGGCAAGAGTATGTTGAACCTGTCGAGTCGTCTATGACGTCATCTATGGCTCCAGGAGCCTTGGATGACGCTGGTCTACTTCCATTGGAACAGGGTGTACTAACAGAAAACTGTGGAGTAAGCTTCGTCGTGGTGATTACAAAAAGCGATTTGTGTGAGTTAAGCCTTTTTTAGGTCCATTTACTTTTCATTTTTTTGAACACCGAAACCCGTTTCCTTTGTTTCGGTTAATCCGAAGGCGGTCTTCTCAGTATTTCCATCTGATAGGTAACGAAATGACTGATCAGCAAGCCGATCGCATTCTTGTGCAAGTACGACGACTGTGTCTTCAGCTTGGCGCTGCTTTGATCTACACGAGTGCTAAGAATGTGAAGAACATCCAGGTTCCTTTTACAGTATCGGTGTGTGCAGGGTACAGCATCCTGATGTGTGAAATAGTAGGTCAGTAAAACCCCCACGAAATCTGACCTCGAAGGAGGGTCTCGGAGGAGGTACGAACCCTCTCGCGGTTCCTTTTCATCGAGCTGCTGTCGAGTGGGGGGGGAATTGTGTAGTGCACATGGAACAGGAAAACCTTGAAAAAATTAGTAAACTCTTTCAGTAGGCCGAAGTTTAACACGAACCCCTTCCCAACAGCGAGCAAACACGACCTCCCCCTTTACAACGTCCCTGAAACAAGAAAGCCAACTATCAAAAAAATTTTCTCAGTCCAAATACGACCCCCCCTCCCCAACGACCAAATACGATCCCTCCTGTTGGGGAATCCCCAACAACGATGTGCCGTGGTGGGCGGGGGTAGGGTATACACATGAAATAGGAAAAATCGCGAAAAAATCCAACAACGGGAAAAATTTTTCCAAACGCGGCAAGTTTCTCTCAAACCACATACGACCCCTCCCCTCTCCCAACAACGACCAAATACGACCCCCTTCTCCTAAGGCCAAGTACGACCCGTCGTGTGTTTCACACAACGGTCTGTACCCTGAGTGTGTGGAATGATTCCGTGTGCAGACCACGGATGCGAAATGCTCAACTTCTACAACTCGTTATTTTGTCAGTGACAGCCGCCATGTTTGTTATGTGATATTTAAGAAGATAAGGAGCAATTTAAGTTTCTTTCGATTTCAGGTTCTTTACAAATACGTCGTACATCGAGCTTTTGGATTTCCATTCACAAGCACTGCTCAGCTGATCGAAAGAGACTCGGTGTTTGTGCCAGCTGGTTGGGATGGAGAAAAGAAAATCGAGATTGTGAAGGTTAGTAATTATCAACTCTTCTGGTTTCAGTTAGCTGGCTTGTAACGGCTTTATTGTTTCGCTCACCCATCACACTTATTGAAGCGGATTTGCGGGTACGGTTGAGCAGTACGGGATTGTGAGGGTTGGCAAGGGAAGTGAGACATTAGATCATACTCCTGTTCATATGTTCTCTATAATGCCAAAGCTGCCAGGGCAGGTCACAAGATGAACACTTTTCCGGTGGAAGGGTCTAGAGAAATTGAAAAAGTTTGGCTTGATCTTGCTACTGACCCCCGCCTTCCTTTACCTACCTTGCTCTCTCTCACTTAGTAACGCTGCTTCCAGAGATTATGCGTAAATCCATAACATTACAAAACCTATAAAGCAGTTGTTTCTGAAAATATTCTTCATATCCTGGAGAGAAGGAGGGCTTCTCGTTAAACTTCACCTGGACATGGCGCCCTCCTTGCTTTTCTTGGGGGGGGGGGGGGGTATTACGTTTCCGTTGCAATCACGTCTTTGTCCAGCTCAAGCCATATGACAGTTGTCTCAAATAAAATATCCCACGATAAAAGCATCGTACACCGTGTTTGAATGGCAGGCAACTTTACCCTCTCCATCTTCGAGATATGGAGCGTATGCGCCAGGATGTTGGTTACGGGATCCATGTTGCAGGGACGCGGCGAAAGTGTTGTTGCAGTTGACGTTACGTGCGCGGCATTTTCACCATGAGCTTACTGGCTTAACGTGAAATTACCGTGGTCGAGTCAGCTAGCTAGCAAAAATTAGTAGTGGTGCGCAGCCGAAACTTGGATCCCCTGACCGGTAGAAGTCTGTGGATGAGCAGTATTTACTGCTGAAGCTAACTGGGTTAGCAGTATTGGATGGTTGAAACTAGCAATGCGTGCAATCGCCTAGGTGTCATAAGGTCCAAATATTCTGTTCCATGCCTTTATAGGAAGGTCTACCTGATGCGGACGGTATTCTGGAACCAACCAGAGAAAAGCCAATACTGCTTAGAGAGCAAGTAATCGAAGCAGAAGATGAACAGGTAGATTCCTTCCCTGGTCTTTTTTTGGCAAAAATACGATCACTAGCGTGCAGGTATTCCTTCAACGTCTCGCCGCAGCTGAAAGTGCTGCACCTGCAGCACAAAAGAAAGCTAGTATTTTGGATGATGCCACGGACAACAAAACTCCACTGTCCAGCTTCTTCTCAAACCTTCTGAAAGTAAGCTTTTCCTCTATGAATTTACCGCTCAGTAACATAATTTTTCTATCCGATCCCTAGGATAAGCCAAACGTTGTGAAAACCTCTGCACCACCAGTTGATAGCGCTGCCCAATTGGATCGTATCCTGAAAAGTACCACCGGACAACAAAGCCAAGGCCCTAATGAGAGTTCTGCATGATTTGTGTAAATGGTCCCTTCACTTAGTCATTTTTTTGAATTGGTTCAATGCATAACTTTTGGTTCCTTTGTATTCGTACTGTATTAATATTTAACTACACTATATTTTATTAACTATTAATTAGTTGCCTGTCTCGAATGGATGTGAAAATTGCATATATCAATGAGCTTTATTGGCTACAATCACAAATGAATGGCAGTCATTCAGAAGCGACAAGCAGAGCAATACAGAATTAGAATTTGGCAATGCCAACCGTGTGAAGAACAATGTATACCCGGGCGGCACAAAAGAAATATTTGTGTTAGACGACTATATAATTATTCAGAAAACGAGCGCAACTTTGGACGCCAGGGATACATGCTTGAAATGGGAAATGGACCAAGAACCCGGCCCTTGATCCTGCCTATACGCCTATTACCTTTCCCAGATCACCCCAAATCCTACATGGCTGCGAGAGTTTCCTGTTTTCTGCCAGAGAAAACTTTCAATCAACTGTCGCAGCGAGGCAGGTCATGGGGCGAACTGGGCAGGGTATAGGGTGTGTGGGTAAAATCCAGGGTAGAAATTTTTGCCCATTTCCCTTCCCAAGGTGTATGCCTGGCGTTCAAGTTGCTCGTTTATCTGAGAACAAGACACCACATGATTTTCTAATCAACTCGTTGCATTTTAAAGAGAATAAAGGAAGAAAAGCTCATCTGGTAAATAAGACATCTGAAATTTGTTTGCGTATAGCACCCATATTCAGTGTTCAAAGGGATTCCATGAAAACTGGGTAAAAAGGGTGGTGAGGAGGCTTGGGAATGAACTTTACCATATGGCCAATAAAGATTGGAAATGTTTAGCAAACTCTGCGATATGTGTAAAAACAGCTAAGGCAAAGGCTAACAATTATATATGGCAATATCATACCATAACTCTATCTTGACAATCATCACCGTCTACCGATCGAAAATCCTTGCCATGTCCGCAACAGAACGACGATTGTTCGCATTTTCATCATTCGACTCACTTAGCTCGGCAACTACTTGAGAAGTAGGCGGGATCAGTCCTATGCGGGACGATGGCTTCGGTGGGAGGGAGGGAGCAGCTGTAGGAAGACTCCTAAATACAACATATTAAGCATTGTAGCTGAAAGACGTTTTAAAGGCAAATAGTACGATAAATCGACAAGGCGTATGAGGGAAAAACACCTGGAAGAGTATTGCACCCCACAGCAGGCGCTACGTAGCCCCTGTTTTCAAGCAAGGGTTGTTGTAGTGCCTTACCAGGGTGCAACATACCGACCCAGACGCCCACCTCAACCGCCGGCCTATGAATGGCCGTTTAGCCACATGGACGCTAACACTCTTATTGCTTCCCTTACGAAGTACAACTGATATGAAACGCTTGCAGGCCGGACGGATATATGACCACACGCATGCAGCCGTATCTATCGGTGCGGTGGTTGGCAAGATGCCAACGGGAAACCCGTTCGGAACTGCTCACAGTCAGCCGCATGTTCGTCCAATGACACGCAGATTGAAAGCTTTTTCGCAGGCTTTTGACCATTTCACTTCACTTTTTCGCCAATTTCCCTTTATATGGCACCCTATTACCACTTTAAACAGCTTACCAGATTGTCGTACTTCACGCCTTTGAGCTGTTGCTCACAGATTTCGATCGTAGAGACCGTCCGGGATAGCTGAGGTGGGCGGAGCCGGGGGATGGCGCCGTTGGCCCCTCCTTTTTTCGCACTCTTATTATGGTCGTGAGGAAAAGAAGGGAAGATTTGCGCGTCCGAAGACATCGATTCTAACTCCTGCTATTTCAAACGGTGCCAAATATTCACCTTTACTATAGATCTTGGCCTTCATCTTTTGCGGCCCTACTTTCTGGAATTCTGGGTGGAAGTTCAACCCTCACGAATTTGTAGATCTACCCTCACGGATGGAAATCTATCCGTGAGGGCAGTTTTAAATAGAAGTGTGTCTCAGAGGTGGTTTGATTGACCCCTTGGACGTGAGCATCGCATCGTTTGACATCGAAACCGTCTGCAGGCCACGCTAGTGATGCTGGTGCCAAGGGGCATGTGGCGGCGGCGTCTGTAGCGCGGACACTATACAAATGGGATATTCGTGTTCAGTAGGCAAAATCACCCTAAGTTCAAACTTTCGATCAAGTCTATTCCGGGTATGTGACAAAACAATCGTAACTAGCCGCGCTGATGGGCGTGGCTAGCGACGTTGAATGGCGCACGCGGCAGGTGAACTAATGTCCACTTTTCCTCTGTACAAGAGTACTGTCTAGCAGAGCTCTTGGGAAACATCTTACTAAAACCGCGGCGCCACTGCCTCATGGTGCGCCGCGCGCGACCACGCGGCTAAATAGGACTGTCTCGATCGCCTTAAAGACAGCCCCCACGCTCAAGTAGTACATGGTCGTCCCTCCCTGTGCAAGTAGTCCAGCCCCCATGCTACAGACTGCCCCACTCTCGCGACCTCCACAAGTTCGCAGCGAGGGAGCGATCTGACCAGCGTCAATAGTGCCAGTTTCTAACGCCCCGCCCAGTTGACCGACCCAACTGCTAGAGCTGCTTTTGAACGGAAAGCCCCCTCAGCTTGTTATTGTTGGGCGGCGGGCATTAATCGAACGCAGATGCATTTCGTGCCGCGCTCGTGCCCATAATAGTTCATGCTGCTCCTTCATTCCACATGTTATACATTTGGAGAGCACACACAGTCAACTTGCCAACCCATCTGTAATTTAAAAACCGCGTTAAAAATCACGAATGCATGCTTTCTGTGGTTGCAAAAGCTCGACCGGACGCGCAGGTTTTGAATTTTTCCCTTTTCCCGAATGATTTTCCGTTCGTGTCTTTTGTTGTTTGTTCATATTCTTTTTTTTTGAAGTGAATGTTTGTCCACTACTGTGAAATGCATTAAACCGATTTCGTGAGCTATTTGTTTCCTCAGGCGCTCGGCACTGAACTGTAAGGGAGCAATTTTGTTAGTTTGTTGTTTTTTTCAGTGGGGTGGGGGTGTGTTGTGGGTGGAGTGGTGCGCGTGTTTTCTGAGGGCTCTCTTTTTCTTTTTCCCTTTATTGAGGAATTACTGTATCAGCTCACTGTTCCATATAGCTTTGGTTTTTTATTTATCGTAGTGTTTGTTATTCTGTGGCTCGGGTGTGGGGTGTGGGACCCGAGCTGTCTTTAAGTTATTCCTGGAGCATAATACCCGTTAGTGTAATTCTGATCTAGGTTTTGCTGATCTATTCATTAAAGTGTGTATCCACCTGCGGTCAGTAAAGTGTAAATAGTGCCTTTTGTCGATTGGAACTGAAGCATGACAAATCACTTACTTCATTCGATGCGGCAAAGGAGGAGGGGATTCGGCTTCCGTAGCAGCACGTGGCGAAGACGAAGGTCCAGGCGAGCTCAAAGCAGAACTATGATGTGGAGAGTCGGGTTTCGGAGACATCGCTCGGTCCGCCGCTGAACGCAACACTGCTTTCGATAACCGGCGATGTAGTATTGCGGCACGAAAACCAGCTCTTTCCGAGGGATGCTGAAATACCTGTTTCAAAGACAGTCGGTAAAAGTGGAATATTACCAATTCGGACCTTCTTCGGGGCGACATCGCCAGCTCCTCCACTGTCTTCACTCTTTGTCGATTGAGCCTCTTCTTCAATATCAGTGCTTCGGCTCATCGGTGTCTCTTCCGACTGTGGTTGTCTTGCTGAAAAATTACTTTTACAGTCAACGAAGGAGGAACAGCTGACGTTTGCCTACCCTGTCCTCCAGATCGTCTTTGCAACCTTGGACGGGACTTCTGCAGATGCACCAAAGCCGATGGTTGTGGGCGGTGAGTCAAGCGAAGCATGCCCAGGCTCGTCGTCTCGCCATGAGGGAGTTCCGAGTGGAGAATGTAATTCTCCAATAATGCTACGAGGTCTATGATGGATGGAATCGGAACCTCTGGAAAATCAATTTTCACTTTAGAAAATGAGCAATTTTCAACCACAAACGATGCGAGATATTTGCTGGAAGGTAAGTTGTCTAGGTGAACCCATTCTGGTGAAGCACTTGTGGTCGAAATACCGTCTAAACCACCACCCAGCTTTTCAGCTAACATACCAGTTTGTTCGCACAACTCGCGCCATCGCCAGTCACTTAAAGAAAACGTTTCACATTGACCCTCTGCATTCAGTGGTGAAAACCTTCTAGATACCTCAGTACTCGTTTGAGATTGTCAGACCACACTCTTTGAGTCTACTGACGGCTATCCGCTCAGCTTTTCCAGATGATTGAAGAGATTCTCCCACAGCGCCGCCAAGACTGACAAATGACTCTTGCAAATTGAGCTTGTATTCACGTCGTACCTGAAGAGAAATTTATTAGTAGCAATTATGAAGGACCTACTAAGATGGTAGCCGGGGTTCAAATGGTGCTTGCTGTTGATCTTACAGTGTTGGGCGGCCACTGTCCTCCTAAGCTGCCAGAAAATCACCCTCCTGTCGCACCCCACCCCCCCCCCTTGTTTTCTGATGTAGTTATCGGGCCCAGGCCAAGTGTTATTCCATTTGCCCACTTTTTTACTCACGACCTCTCTTCCCAATGAGGAATTCTTCTGCCCGTGTACGAGTACTTCCAACCAGTGAGGGTGGGGGGCGAAACCATTATCCATAACGCCCCAATGCGTGGACACACGGATCTGGATACTGGACTTGACCGCATTCACCAACGCCATAGGCTGTTATTGTCACCATACAAAGCTGAGAATTCAAAGGCAGTGTGGACACGATGGCTGGGGCGGGCGGTTGCTGCCAACGTGATTGGTGGAAGTGATGGCAGAGGGCGCTTAGCCACACCGCATTCAGCCCTTCCACCCAATGACGTTGGCAACCCCCCTCCCCAACCACATGCCCAGTGACTGGGAGGACAACCTGAACCTGATTCCTTTGAACGCTTCGATTTTCTGTTTCTCTTTGCATTCTCAAGTCTGTATGACATTCTATGTTCATTA